CGATCTGTGAAACTGTCGCCATTTTCGAGGCCTGCTGGGGGGCCCAGCACAGTGAGGGCGACGCGCGGATTCAAATTAGACCTCGCCATCCCTGGGGGGCTGCGATCTGTGAAACTGTCGCCATTTTCGAGGCCTGCTGGGGGGCTCAGCACAGTGAGGGCGACGCGCAGATTCAAATTAGACCTCGCCATCCCTGGGGGGCTGCGATCTGTGAAACTGTCGCCATTTTCGAGGCCTGCTGGGGGGCCCAGCACAGTGAGGGCGACGCGCAGATTCAAATTAGACCTCGCCATCCCTGGGGGGCTGCGATCTGTGAAACTGTCGCCATTTTCGAGGCCTGCTGGGGGGCCCAGCACAGTGAGGGCGACGCGCGGATTCAAATTAGACCTCGCCATCCCTGGGGGGCTGCGATCTGTGAAACTGTCGCCATTTTCGAGGCCTGCTGGGGGGCCCAGCACAGTGAGGGCCACGCGCGGATTCAAATTAGACCTCGCCATCCCTGGGGGGCTGCGATCTGTGAAACTGTCGCCACTTTCGAGGCCTGCTGGGGGGCCCAGCACAGTGACGCCACGCGCGGACCCAAATTAGACCTCGCCATCCCTGGGGGGCTGCGATCTGTGAAACTGTCGCCACTTTCGAGGCCTGCTGGGGGGCCCTGCACAGTGACGCCACGCGCGGACCAAATTAGACCTCGCCATCCCTGGGGGGCTGCGATCTGTGAAACTGTCGCCACTTTCGAGGCCTGCTGGGGGGCCCAGCAAAGTGACGCCACGCGCAGACCCAAATTAGACCTCGCCATCCCTGGGGGGCTGCGATATGATATCCCCGCTTTCGAAGTGGCTAGGGTTGCTCAGGGATTGTAACTAATCAGCTTTATCTAGTCCTTGTCCTGTAGCCAGTGTCCTCCGAGTCTCCCGAATTCCGTCTGCAGAGATATGTAACCCTCGCTCCGTCATCGCCCCCTTATAAAGTGTCCTGAACTATTTGCGCCCCGCGTTTGCGCAGGGGTTGGGTACGTCGCCAGGGTAATTGTTGTTTTGTTTCTCTCTCTCTCTCTCTCTCTTTTTTTTCTCTCTCTCTCTCTCTCTCTCTCCCCCTGCCTCTAATCAACCGCCCCCCTCTTCGCTTCTTCTCTCCTGGCGTTGTCCCTCATCCTTAGTCCCTCCCCCTCCCTCCCACTCTCCCTCGGTCTCCCCCTCCTTTGTTTGCAGGACCCACACCAATTCCAATGGCGGGCACATGTACGCCCACGAAGGATTGTCCGCCCGTTCAGGTTTGCCCGCCTGTCTAAGGCCGCCGTCCCCCGCACAAATAAATAATCTCCTAAAAAGGGTGTGTGATCGAAGACAAAAAGGGCGAGTACCGAAAGTTTGGGCAACTCGTTTTGAATGACACGCGGGCGAGTAAAAACAAACAGTAGTATAAGTACTATTGTTACTGTTGTTGTTGTTGCTGTTGTTGTTGTTGTTGTTGTTGTTGTTGTTAGTGTTGTTAGTGTTGTTGTTGTTTTTGTTGTTGTTGTTATTGTTATTGTTGTTGTTGCTGTTGTTGTTAGTGTTGTTGTTATTGTTGTTGTTGGTGCTGCTGTTGTTGTTGTTAAATTTTTATTTATGAAGAATAATTATTGTTGATCCCCCCGCCAGTGCATATTGTTTTTCTCAATCAAAGTGTGCCCCTCGACGCTCGCACCCTGTTTTTTGGACAGGAAAAGTCTGGATGCTCAAACTGGGCCCCTGGCCCCCGGGTTACAACAACAACGGCTCCCGCTTTAGACTTCCTTACAATTCAGCCAGGTCCCCCGCTCCCGCCCGAGACTTTTTCCGTATTTTATTCAGGAATCGCGCTCTCGCCTGGGACTTCCTTACAATTTATTCAGGAATCGCTCTGCCGGCGCTCTGGAGTCGCGCTTTCGCTGGAGACTTGCTTGCGACCTACTGAAGAATAGCGCCCTTGCATTGGAGTGTCTTGCAATTTGCTCAAGCGCCGCGCTGCCGACGCCCAGGCACCCAGGGGTTGCGCCCGTTGTGGCCCCATGTGCGTGCCCTTCGAGGCCCCGCTGTCGCCGTGCGTGGCCCCCTCATTGTCCTACGGGCCCAGCTGCTGCCCTCAGTGGCCCCATCGTTGCCTTCTGTGGCCCCGCATTATCTGCCCTTCGTGGCCTCCGGTCGTTCGCGCTCTTCGTGGCCCCATACGCATTCCCTTCGTGTCCCCGCTGTCGCCCTTCGTGGCCTAGTTCGTGTCCTTCGTTGCCCTGCTGTCGTTCTCTCTCGCTCTCGCTTTCGCTCGTCGTCGCCGTCGTCTTCTTCGTCGTCGCCGTCGTCGTCGACGTCGTCATTATCGTCGTCGTGGTCGGTCCCCTGTCCGTCCCTCTTGGGGTCGGGTCGACGGTCCGCGGCCGCCCCGCCGATCAGCGCTGCCGCTGGCCAGGCCGACGGTCCGCGGCCGCCCCGCCGCTTGCCGGGGCCCGGCCTGCAGGGACGAAAGGTATACCACCCAAAAGGGGTTCGATCGAAGACGAAGAGGGCGGGTATCGAGGGTTTGGGAAATACGCGTTATTGGACACTCGGGTATATAAGGGCGAACCGTCTTAAAATTCTTTACGCTCCGCGTATCCCCACCAGCCCATCTCACAACAGCAACTCTTGCGAAGCATGCCGACAGTCGTGTTTTTCAGGCGTGTGTCCGCTTGGCCCCGCATATTTCCCCTGCTCTTCCTCCCGCCTCCTTGTACATCCTCCTTGTGGGGGGAGCGGGAAAAGGACGAGGCGGAGGAGGAGGGAGAGAAAGCGCTCCTCGTGGTTTGAGTCGTTTGGGGTTTCTCGTCCTGGTGTGAGTCGTTCGGGCCCTTCTTCCTGGTGTGAGTCGTTCGGGCTCTTCGTGGTGTGAGTCGTTCGGGCTCTTCGTCCTGGTGTGAGTCGTTCGGGCTTCTCGTGGTGTGAGTTGTTCGGGCCCCTCGTCCTGGTGTGAGTCGTTCGGGCCCCTCCTCCTGGTGTGACTCGTTCGGGCTCCTCGTGGTGTGAGTCGTTCGGGGCCCTCGTCGTGGTGTGAGTCGTTCGGGCTCCTCGTGGTGTGAGTCGTTCGGGCGCCTCGTCCTGGTGTGAGTCGTTCGGGCCCCTCCTTCTGGTGTGAGTCGTTCGGGCTCTTCGTGGTGTGAGTCGTTCGGGCCCCTCGTCCTGGTGTGAGTCGTTCGGGCTCCTCGTGGCGTGAGGCGTTCGGGCACCTCGTCCCCTTTTGGGGCGTCTTGGGGGCCTCTTGGCGGCCCCAGGGGCTTCTAGGAGCGTCTTGGGTGCCTTGGGGGAGCCTCTTCGGGCCTCTTGGGAGCCTCTTGGAGGCCGTTTGGGGCGTCTTGGGGGCCTCTTGGCGGCCCCAGGGGCTTCCAGGAGCGTCTTGGGTGCATCGGGGGAGCCTCTTGGGGCCTCTTGGGGGCCTCTTGGGGGCATCTTGGGGGCCTCTTGGGGGCCTCTTGGGGGCCTCCTGGGGGCCTCTTGGGGCCATCTTGGGGCCTTTTGGTGCCTCCTGGGCGCTTCTTGGGGCCATCTTGGAGGGAATGGATCAAAGAAGAGGGGAGCTTTAATTAGCGCTGCCCCCTCAGAAGGGCAAAATGAGCCCAAAACCTTAGTAAAATCAATGATTTTGCCTTGAAGGAGGAGGAGAACTTTAATGAGCGCTGCCCCCTCAGAAGGCCAAAATGGGGCCAAAACCGTAGTAAAAGCAATGATTTTGGCTGCAAAGAAGAGGAGAGGGTTTTTCTCCCTCCCCCCGTCGGGGCCAGAATCCTCGTGAGGGTCGTCGTTTTTTTAGCCCTCCCAGGAGTCGAAAATGACTCCCCTGACGACCCGCGAGGCGCCCTCTCCAGGCCCAGGGGAGGGGGTAGGGGGAGGGGTAAACCCCTCCCCGAAGGGGAAGGAGGGGGGTTGAGGACAGAGAGGGCTCTCTAAACCACTCACGCCCTAAAGGGCTGGTGGGATTATTGTTGTTGTTGGTGTTGGTGCTGGTGTTGTTGTTGTTGTTGTTGTTGTACGGGCTTTTGCGAGCAACTTTTTCGAACTTCTGCAACAACGGTTGCGCACCAGCCAGGGCCATCATCCCTGTCAAATAATACCATGCGGGACACATTCGTTTTTTCTTCGCGCGCGCACGCCGTCGTCGTCGGCCGCGGGGCCCTGAATAGTAGCCACGGTCGTCCGCATGCCACGAAGTGAAGTGTCCGAACGTCATAGGGCGGGAAGCTGGGTGTGGGTGGTGGCGAAGAGTCGTTTGGAAATGTGGTAGAGCTTGAACCGGCCCCCCCACAAAGTGGGGGTATTGGCGGGCGTCGTATGAAAACCCTGGCACTGGTGAGAACGGAGTGTCCCCACGTGCTAGTAATTGTTGTTGTTGTTGTTGTTGTTGTTGTTGTTTTTGTTGTTGTTGTTGTTGCTGCTGTTGTTGTTGTTGTTGTTGTTGTTGTTGGTTGTGGTGTTGTTGGTGTTGTTGGTGTTGTTGTTGATGGTGTTGTTGTTGTTGGTGGTGTTGCTGTTGTGTTGTTGGTGTTGCTGTTGATGGTGATGTTGTTGCTGTTGTTGTTGTAGGTGTTGTTGGTGTTGTTGGTGCTGTTGTTGTTGCTGTTGCTGTTGCTGTTGCTGTTGTTGATGTTGTTGTTGTTGTTATTGTTATTGTTGTTGTTGAACACTATTACTTCTAAAGAATTATTATTGTTGGACCCCCTGGTGCACGCCCCCCGCCCAAAACCTAGGCCGCAGCTACATTTTCATCATTTTCTGCGAAAGCTTCAGAAAAGTGGATTACCCCCGGATCCGGTTTTTTGTTGACGCTCGTTTTCCTTTGCAAAAAACAATAGAAAATGAAAATTCTTGTTCTTAGTTGATCAAATTTCAAGAATCCCTTGCAAAAAATAAGGTAAAGTGGACATTCGCGCTCGCAAGACGAAATCCTTCCAAAACCTTAGGTTTCGTAGCGATTTTAACATAAAAACATCAAAAACCCGATGGTTTTTTAAGAAAAAATTGTCAACATGTCCTTCCGCGCGCTCCGCTCCTTCCGCTCCGCGCCATCGCAGACGACGATGCGTCGCGCCTTTAGTATGCTTCTGGATGCGAAGACCATTCGGTTGAGTATACCCCTACGTGTGACTGGACCTGTTTGCGAAAACAGGAGAAAGTATGGCACCCCTTTGTGTCCAGAGCCGCGCCGTCTGCGTTCTTCCTTTCTCGCTTCTCTCCTTTCCTCCTTGTCCTGCTCCTCCTCCCCCTCTTCCGCCTTGGAGCCGTATTGGAACTGTCGATGGCCATCTCCCTTTCTCCCTCGCATGTCTGCTTGTACATACGTATAATTTCAGAACTTACCGTGCATGCGATCGTTTACAACATGGTGGACCGTGCGTATGTCACGAACCTTGTATACATGTGTTTCTCTCCCTCCGTCTGGCTGTGCACGCGCGCGTTGGGCACTGAGAGTTAGGATCATAGCGCCATGAGTCTATGAGCAATGCATGCGTCATCCTTGGGACTGTATAACATCAGTGTAACACATGTACTTCTGTAATCGCATCCCCACGAATTTGCCCCAAAAATGTGACCAACTATCTTGGCACTGCGTACCATCTCACGTGTACCGTGTACCACATCATATGTAACAGATGTGATCAACCTCTGTGGGTGTGTACCCCACGCCAGTGTAGTAGCCAGGGTCGTCCGCACGCCACGAAGTGAAGTGTCCCAACGTCATAGGGCGGGAAGCTGGGTGTGGGTGGTCTCGAAGAGTCGTTTGGATATTTGGTAGAGCTTGAACGGCCCCCCCACGAAGTGGGGGTATTGGCTGGTGTCGCAAGAAAACCCTGGCACTGGGGAGAACACTGAGCGTTCGGGTAAAATGATTGTTGTTGTTGTTGTTGTTGTTGTTGTTGTTGTTGTTGTTGTTGTTGTTTGTCGTCGTCCCCCCTGCGACCCGCAAGCGGCCCACCCGCGACGCACCCCGTGACCCACCCCGCGACCCGCGACCCACCCCGCGACACACCCGCGACACACCCACGACCCACCCCGTGTTCGCCCGCGACCCACCCCGCGACCCACCCCGCAACCCACCCCGCGACCCACCCGCGGCCCACCCCGCGACCCACCCCGTGATTCGCCCGCGACCCACCCCGCGACCCACCCCGCGACCCACCCCGCGACCCACCCCGCACCCACCCGCGACCCACCCGCGACCCGACCCACCCACCGCGACCCACCCCGCGACCCACCGCGACCCGACCCGCGACCCCGCCCGCGACCCACCCGCGACCCACCCGCGACCCACCCCGCGATCCGCCCACATTGCTTTAACGAAAAAATCGACGCTTGCGGCGGGCTCGCTGCATAATTTGTAAAAGCCTGCGGCGGGCTTCTTCAGAGCCTCGCAGACTGACGACTTCCTTGCCGCCCCATCACTCTTATCCGCAACTGCGTGGTGCTACGGTATTTGCCGTCGCTCCCTCGGATTGGCTTGGGCTGCTGCTTTTATCTATCCGCCCTTCTGTTTTACCCCCACTCTGGTCGCCGTCGCACCTGTGCGTCCCTATGCTCCAGGGAGATCAAGTCTTGTGGGATCCCAGATCGGTCGTACGTGATCCAGTCAGCAGCGATTAAACAGCCTGGCACGTATGTTGCAACAGTGGCAAAGAGCGCCCTGCTCGATCCAAGACGGGTACGGACGGCAGGAGCATGAGGCATGAGGCGGGCGAGGGGATCAGTTTTAGCCATCAATCGTCTCCCATACCGTCTCTCCCCTCCCTCGCCCCTACTGCCTCCCTTCCAGCCCCTCTCACTCACCTCTCCTTCCCCCTCTCCGGCCTCCGGCGGCGGCTGCCGCGCAGGCTCGAGAGGAGACCAGTGCCCCGTTGGGTGTACGCAGTGATGCCTGCATCGGCACCGCTCCCTCGGGCGGGGCTGCGTAGGACAGTGATCAGTCGTTCCAGAGCGTTCCGGAATGCTCTGAGAAGAAGATTCCCGATTTATCTTTGTCAGACGTTGTCTTTGTCTTGGCTTCGTCTTACGCCCTCGCCGGGTTTTTTCATCCAGTGGCCTCCTTCGCGGGGGCCACGCGCTACCCCCGAGCGTCCTGGAGGGGCCGATGGTCCACCGCGCTGCCGCAAAGATGGGGGAGAAGGGCGATGACGAAGAGGGGGGCGAGGAGGGATTGAGGAAGACCGAACTACATACACATAATTCCTCTGAGGTCCGCGCGCATTTCTCAGGTCGGCGCTGGGCCCCCCCTGGCGGCGCCTTCGTCGCGCCAGGAAAGGGGGGTCCGGTGCCGATCCGAGAAATCCGCACGGACCTCAGAGAAGTTGTGTGTATGTCATGTTTCTCCCTCTGAAGGGAGTGGGGTCGAGGAGGAGTGGGGGGAGGGGAGGAGGGGATGGGGGGACAGGGAGGGGAATGGCGAGGGGTCGGCCGTGCACCCCATCTTGCCGCGAGGAGGTGGCCATCGGTTCCCACACCGAGCGTGATCCAGCCCATTCTTCTGAGCTGTGCGTGTCAGTTGCCCGCTGGCACCCCTGCTTCCTGTTATAAGAACGACCGAATGACCACCGCTGTGGACAAGCGTCCGAGCCTGGCTCAGACCAGGTGGGTGAGGCCGTGGCCCCTGGATTCTGGAGTGGACACGTGCAATGCGAGACGTATGAAAAGGTTTGGAGGACAGGAGGAAAAGGGAGGAAGGAGTCCTTGGTGTCGGTGTAGGCACGTGTGTCGTCTCGACTTCTCGCTGTCGGCCTTGGATGCTTGCTCGGGTGGGATCGGTGCGCTGGTTTCCCATGGCCGTGGTCGCAGGCGCCTCTGACCCGCAGGCGTACTGTACCAAGGCTTGCGCGCGCGTGGGCGCTCCGGCCCCGCTATTACGCGCGCGGGGCGGAGGGGCACCAAGCCCGGGGAGGACGAGAGGGAGTGTGTCGGCCATGTGTAAGAGTGACCCTCCCTGAGCTGAGATCCTGGCATTGCAATTTTTTCTCAACGCCCTGTTCCGGGCCCAATGACCATCACATATCGATCCAGCTAGACAGGCGCAGAGCGATGGGGTCCGGCGCTTTGGTCGTGATTTTTTTGCAACGTCGGATCTGGTCGAACTAGATGGGGTCAGAGTACGGGCAGGCTGGAAACACATGCGGGCCGGGCCTGGTTGTGCTGTCTGGGCGTCAGGCTGTCTTGCTGCCGTCGGGCCGCACCGAACTTGAAAAAGTGATCTCGTTTTTGTGGTCGGGGCGTGGGCTCCGTTTGCATTTTTTTTGAGATGGCCCGGGCGAGCGCGATCTTTCATCTCCTCTGACCACACTGACCGCAGTGTTTCCAGCTTTTTGTGTCACCAGCCTCCCCGTGGATGGGTTCGGAGCATGGCGTCACATCGCCGATGCATCGCGCCCCTGCGTCGCCGATGCATCGCCGACGTCGCCGATGCATCACTGATGCGTCGCCGACGTATCGCCGATGCGGCACGATCCCTCCGATCCCATCTGCTCGGACTGCTTTTGGGAGGCCTTTACTTTTCCTTCGTGGTGGTATTCCCACCCCCTCCTCAGGGAGTCAAAATGTACAGATACCACTACCCCACGGCCATCTCCTGGGGCGCATTCTGAACAGGAAGTCGAAGCGAATCCAGCCGTGGCGACGAGGGAAGGGTAGCGGTTTCGGTACCTTTTTTCTTCCGACCTCCCCATGAGATCCGATTTTGCGGACCAAATGCAGCATCATGCAAAAGCACGACCAGAGCCGACATTTTCTTTCTGCTGCATTTCTCGCGCCGCATCGATTTTTGAGGGCCCAGGGGCCCGAATCCAGGCGAAAACGCCCGGCGTGGACAAAAATACAATGCCCGGATCTCAGGGATTGTCCTCACGGCGATGTCCCCCCTTCTGGGGGAGTCCGAAGATACAGATCGTGCAATTCTTGGATTTTCTTTTTCCTTGGAGTGCGTTCTAACCAGGATTTCAAAGCGAATCCAGCCGAGGCGACGAGTGCCTCCCAGGAGGCCCAATGAGATCGTAATTCGCGATGTCAGTAAATATTCTTCCGACTTCTCGTCCACCCCGGCAGACGCAGGCGCGATTGGGCCGCCCCCAGCCCATATCCGGGCAATGCTAAGAGGGGGTCACTTGTAGGGGGGTCGCCACTTTCTCGAGGAAGCGCCGTGGCCTCGAGGACGCGGGCCCCCCGGAACACTCCAAAGCATCACAACAGCCCCACAACACGACCCCCAAACATCAACAAAATCCTTCGAGTTTCGATCCTGCAACCTGGATCCCCAGGAGGATCAGAGGAGGAAGAGATAACCGCGGCCCCCAGAAGATAAATAGTACCCATTCCCTTCTGACAGCTTCTTATCCCCAGCCAATGCACATCTGGTCGGGGGAGAGGGGCGGCAGGGCCGAACTTTAGTATCGCGGGAGAAAGTTGCGAATCGAAGTTGCTGTTTTCTTATGTTGGTTAGCAACATCATCAAACACGTGTGGCATGGCACTGGGGGTCTCACCATGTAAATTTTCGCAAGTCACGGACGTATGGGAAAACTGATGGGATTCTGACCGTTTCAGCTGTCCCAAAGCACGAACGTGTGGCATGGGTATAGGGCTCTCACTTTCTCAGCCCTTGCCGAATCAGGAACGCATGGCAGGGCGATGAAGACCGATTGGGTTTTGAGGATCGTATGCGTCCTTCGACGCTTTCACCAATTCAATTTTCCAAATCACGAATGTGGTTATGGGATTCTTGCAGTTCCAACTTTTCCCGAATCAAGAACGTGTGGCACACGGTTCGTGGCCCCATAGGGAACTCCGCCGAAGGCCCTGGCGGCGGTGCTCGCATGTGTCCGCGCTTTTCGTGGGTCTTCAGTTTTGCACAACCCTCATACAATTCGTGGCCCCATAGGTACCTCCACGGGTTTCCCTCCTCCTCCCCCCACTGCGCCTTCACCTTCCTTTTTCCCGCAACCGCGTGGGCTCGACCCCCCCGATCTGTACACTTCGGAGCCCATTCCGAGCTCAAACCTTTTCATGGCGCCAACATCGCAGAGCGGATTTCGTTCGAAAGCTATGGGGTGGGCCTGGAGTGTTTTGCAGCATTACGTTCCGGATTTCGCAGTGAATTTCGTGCGTGCTATTTTGGCCAGGAATGACGGCAAAACGCATCGACGTGAAATTCACTTCGTTTTTTCACTCGCCGCTTCAGGGTATTACATCGACCGAAATCCACGCAATAATCCGCTACAACACGTTTGCAAGGTCGGTGCAGTGAAACTTCGTGACCACCGAGCATGGCGCATTCCCGTGCCCGCGCGAGGGCGGCAGCGTTTTTCGGCGCCGAATCACCGCCCCCTGCCGAGCAGCTCCCCGAGTTGACCGAGCTCTTTCCCCGGGGTGCTGAAGCACAGCGAGGGGCTGTTGCGCAAGCAGGATATCACCAACCATTGCCTCATGCGCCTGTGCGAGAAGGCCCCCTGCGCCGAGACGAGCCAGGGCCAGGCGACCGGGGAGGCAACCGACGCTTCAAGGGCGACGAGAATGTTCCTCCGAGGCTCGAGCGCTCTGCGTGGCGGGCACGCTCGAGTCCATCATGCTCGAAAGCATCTTCCACGAGAAGGACGTCCGCCGCTCCAAGCTCCTCTCCGCCGTCTTATGGAAGACGCGGCGCGGGAAGGCCGACCGGTTTTTCGACACCTTCGAGGAGCGCGACCAGAACTGCGACCGGCCGCTCGTCCTCTCGCCGAGTTTCCGCCAGCAGTTTCTCGAGGCAGCCGAGAACGAGGGCGCGTTTCTCGGCGGCGAGACCGTCGAGAAGTCGAGCGACGGCTCCCGCGGGGCGCGCGTCAAGGAGGCGCGAGCGCACCCAAACCAGCGAGATCTTGTCGCGCGCAAGGGCGGGCGCCAGGCGCGCCGAGGAGAAGGTCGGCGGTTTCGAGGCGATCGCGGCTTTGCCCGCGGAGCTCATGAAGTTGATCGAGTGGGCCGAAGAGAATTTTGCCATCGCCTTCCCAGACCGGCGGGCTCGAGCCACCGGGGCCGGCGCCGAGCGCGAGTTCCAGGAGGCGGCGCGCCGCGCCCGGCGCGCGCCGTCGAGGGGCATGTCCCGAGGCGCCGCGCGATCGCGACCGAGCGCGCCGCGCGCGCTTCCGAGAGAACGGACGAGGCAGAGGCGGGCGAGTCGGGCGGAGCATGGGCGTTCGAGCCCGATGGAAGGCGCGCATTGTTCTGGCGAGAGGCGACCCCCATGAAGGGCGCGTTTCAAGCTGCCCCCCTCTCGCCGAGTAGATGTTCCCAGGTGGCCATCGACGACGCTCGATCCTCGACCCCCGAGGATCCTCGGTCTTGGATTGGTCCGAGGATCGCCCAGCTTGGGTCCTCGACCCGAAGATCTTGGGCCCTCGATCCGAGGATTGAGGATCGAGCCTCGGCGATCTTCGATCGTCCTCGTCGCCGTCGTCGGGCCCAGGCCGCCGTCGACGAGCCTCGGTCCTCTCGATCCTTGAACACGCGACCCTCGGCCTTGCATCCGAGCATCTTCGAGCGCCTTGGATTGTAGATCCGAGGGCCGCCCAGCATGGGTTCGAGGGCCCTGGGCCCTCGATCCGAGGATCGAGGATCGAGCCCAGGCGATCGTCGATCGATGCCGTCGTCGGGCCCAGGCCGCCACCAAGGAGGCTCGATCCACGGATCGAGGGCCCTCGATCTTAGACCCGAGCGCCCTCGAGCACCTTGGTCTCTAGACCCGGGGATCGCCCAGCTTGGACTCGAGGGATC